TATAATAAAATCTTAACAACCATATTTAATTTCCATTTTCATTCTCTTAATACATAAGAACATCTTAAAACTAACAATACATTTATATAAACATTTAAATATATGTTCAACGTTAAAAATATATATTCATAAAATAAATAACATATGTATATAAAATTGAAAGTAATACCCGCGCGGTTGCGCGGGTAAAGATCTAGTAGATATTAAAAAGAAGGGAACTCAATCTCGGCTCCACATTTTCCATGGGGGAAAACCGGGCATTCAATTAAACCGGAAGCAGACCGGTCAACACATAAATAAACTTGGTACAATTGGCTATTCCCAGACCCATCTCTGTTACACTCAATCCAAGGAGTGAAACCCGTTGACTCTTTGATCGATTCTTTAATGCTCTCTAAACTGTATGAATTTCCATCCGGATTAATCCCTACATGTAATAAACCAGTAATTACATCATTAGAATCAAACCGGTATGAACCGATTTAACATATAAAGAGTGAAGTAAATTAAACCGTACCGGCTTTAGTTAGAGCTCCAAGAAGATCGGTTTCTTGTTTAAGTTTAAGAGAGGTTTGGAAATACTCATGTTGGTCAATAACCGATTCGGAGCAAGTACCGTGCTTCTCCCATTCGTGTTCCCAAAAAGCCTCTCCTGAACCGCTCGGACAAGCCAGTGTAGGCCAGTTCTGCTTCATTGAGCTGATCAGATCAGATATCTGTACCACACAAAACCAAAAACAAATCGGTTATGTTTTTATTTTGAGAATATAACCGGTTTTATCTATTTCTGAACCGGGTTACTCAAACCAACAGCAAAATGCATTTTATTACCGTTGATGAATCGAATGGCTTAGTGGCGTCACAGTTAGATGGATAAGTTCCATCTTCGTAGTTAGGCCAAAGACCATGAATACCAAAATCAGCAGCTGGTTTACCTGAAGTTGGATAACAACAACTTTTCTGTGTATCACAGTATGATCCTGGCCACTTTAAAATTCATACATAATATACAAATGTTAGTAGAATATAATATGTATGTGTTGAACATTAATATAAACATTTTTATAGGATAATAAACAGTTTAGTTACTTGTTGGACGAAGTAGAAGAAATCAAAATCTTTAGAGGAAGAAGCAGCAAAGATCGAAGGTAGGACTAGGAGAAGACTGATCAAACACAGTGATGCGTGGAGAAGCTTCATCTTCAAATGAAACAACAGATTGTTATTTTAGAAGATTGTAGTTGTCTGGAGAACTGAAGTTATAGGATTGAGATGGTGATTGTGTTTATATATATAGGGAAACCAGATCAGAGAGATGTGAACAGAGGTTTCTCTTTCACATTTCGTTTATTAGTTTAGTGGCAGATGCATCAAACGAATCTAGGAGTTTTATGGTATATTCCTTTTATATGAAGTGCATCTGTATACGTATGTTTACGAGATTTTATTTTAAACACTGAACAAGGACATGAGATTACGTGTGGTGTGGACATGGTGTGTGTGTGTGTTTTTAAAAAAATAGGAAGTCGTAACGTTCCCACTTGTTGGTTAGATAGAAGGTTCGGTTTGTATCCTCGTAACTGATCATTGATTTTTTGAAACCCAATAATATACATTTTCTATCTTATCTAAACTAATAATTTATATCTTTAACATGATTTTATGCTTTTGTAAATTTAAGAGGAGTTCCATGCGATGGTAATAGAGAGGAAAACAAGGAAGCAAGTTTAATGGGTTGAAGCAAGTTTAATGGGTGGAATCAAGTTTTCGAATTTCAATTATTGTATACTTCTGATTTTAAGTATTGTGAACGCATTATTATTTGGTAGGATGTTACTTGTTTTATACAAGCAAACAATTTATCAAAAAAATTGTCATTTTCGTCATATGAACAAGCAAACTCTATATATTCAATGTGTTAAACTTTGGTATATCTATCCACCACCAAAATTGTTAAATGAGAAAAGCGTTATGTCCTTACCTAAAATTATAAACTGATTAGCATATTTTCTGTAGAAACGAAGAAATAAGTTTGAATGAAAAGAAAAATAATATAAGTTCGTTTCAGACACGGTATACTATCGGCTCCTATGTAACAAGTGTTTTTAAAGTAGACAATTAAACTGTATGATTCCTTGTTATTATTGATGTCATGTGTTAAGTGGATGACTTTGTAGATCTCAAAGTCAACAAATATTATATTTTTAACATGATTTAATGCTTTTATAAGATGTAAGAGAAGTTCCATGCGATGATAATAGTGAGGAAAACAAGGAAGCAAGTTCTATGGGTTGAATCACGTTTCGATGATTGTATTCTTATGATTTTAAATATTGTGAACGAATTATTATTTGGTAACATGCTATATTCTTTTATATGAACATCCAATTTATCAAATAAATCGTCATTTCTTCTTATTAAGCAAACTCTATATTACTCTCTCTCTCTAGTTTCAGTTAGATCCGTATTCTAAATTTTTCACAAATATTAAAAAAGTTGTTGATATGTCTATTTTAACATTTTGTCATTATTATTGAAAAGAATAAAAATAACAAAGATATCTAAGTTAAACATTTGATCGATTAAGGGCATGATTAACTCCGATCTTTTAACCGGAGTTTTTAATTCATGATTTAATATTTTTTATTATTTTTACACTTTTGGCTAAAAGATAACTTTTATATCTCTCATTTAAGAATCAATTTTTAAATTTTATTATTTGAAATCTAAAAAAAACTAAAAACCCTCTTTTAGTCGAAGTTAAAAACTCCAGTTAAAAAATTTGGGTTAATCATGGTCTAATTCTATCATTGTTTTGCTTTTATTGCACTAATATGAGTTTCCCATATTTAAGATCTTCATATTTCATATTTAATGTGGTACATTCTACTATGAAATTTTACATTTTCTTCACTAATTGATTCACGTATATAATGTGAATTTGTTTTGAATAAAATAACTTTGGAGCCAAAAGTTTTAAAATACAACTCAAAATTTGTTTTTAGTACCAAAACTGAGTTGACTATATATGTTTGAAGTATACTAAGGATTCTAACTCAGATATTTGAGTGATGACTTTTCCTCACAATATTGAATCTCGTTTAAGTCTAACTTATGCACACTGAGATTACGTACGTGAAGTGTTTGATTATCTTCATTCATATTCATTTTTTCTTTCACCATTTTTTAAAGCAACTCATGAACCTAATTAAGAAAAAAGGTTTTATGAGAATACTAGAAAGAAAGAATTTTATAGAATACGATTAGAGCTTTTACATGGATATAATAATAATCATGTAGTCTATTTGACTTCAATTTAAACGAAGTATTACAGTGTTAAATAACATTTATTTCTGTGTATAATATTAATAGTTGTAAATTATTTTATCCTAAATTAAAATAATAATAAGTGAGGACAAAACATGTATTTTTAGACTAAATATGCATAAAAAACTGAGAAAATACATCTTTTTGAAACTTAATTGGTATACCGATCCACCTACAAACACATTAACTGACTTTTAAGATAAAAAAAAACAACAAGAATAATATGATTAATTTTATTTAAATTCAATACAATAAATTTCATAATTTTAATAGAAAATGAATATACTATTTGAAATTTGTCATTTCAAAGTTTATGAAGTACTAACAGTGAACATATTGTTATTGACTTTCCCAAAACTACACAACTGAAATGATTAGCGTATTTTCCCAAATAAAACGACTTAGTTTGAACTTTGATGAGAGAAAAATTATACTCCCGGGTCGTTGCCGACATTTTTCTAACTCCCCATATCAAAGGTGTTTTAAAAGTAGACAAGTAAACTGTATTCCTTGTTGTTATTGCTCTGATGCGTTAAGTTGATGATGACTTTGTAGACCATTAAGTCAACGGATTGTTTTCTTTCGTTACTTCTATAAACAAATAAAAAGGAAATTTTTTTTAAGCTGTATACTATTGAGAAAATAATTTAGCAAAACTAGCATCTATCCACACACAAAGAGGACAAAACTTTTATTTGAGTCTATAGGTGATATAAGTAGGGTATGACTCGATTCCCTCTATGACCCACAAACACAATTTTTATAGTTGATAATGTAGAATTGCGAAAATCCTGATTAAAAATTACAAAATACAAAGCGATATAAACGAATATATATAATATGAAAAATGTTTCAGAAATCGTTAAGGAAATAGATAAATTTGTGAAGTCAAGATTTAATTTCTTTCCTTAACTCAATAAATCATCTGTAATGTGAGATGGGTTGGAAGCGATTCTTGAATTTTAAGACATAGCCACGATGAAACTGTTTCGCTGCAGCCAAAACAGAATATGCAAACTATAATTATTACTAATACTCTCGAGATTTACTTAAGAGACGACTCGACTTTTTGCCATAACTACTTTCTAACTGCTTTGAAACGTGAAAAAATAATAAAGAAGGTAGGTACCTATTTATATGGAAAGAATACTAGATCGACAAACCACAAATAACAATAAGGAAATAATATTCCTGGAATTATTCTGAAATTATTTATGTTTATCGCAAAAGAGATGATCAGAAATATTCCAATAATTATCTCGAAGTTTTTCCAAATTTATTTTGACACAATCTAAAACATTTATATTTATCGAGATTATTATGTCTAAATTCTTGGTATTAATTTGCTCAAATAAGAACATCTTATTGTGGACTAAAGTCCAAATTCACCCAGACCCAAGCTATTGAACCTGGCCCGGTGGCGGCAATGACAGAGCGCATGTGTGGTTTACATAATGGCCCGTGTCACTTCTTCTCCATAGTATTTTCACAAGCTACTGAATCCTGAAACTATTGAACCCTGATAAGAAAATGCCATATTTATACTACAAAATTTCTCTTGTAATAAACAATGCGAAACTTTTTACTCTTACATTTCATTTATGTTAAAGGTTTTCCTTTTAGAACCCAAAAGACATTTCCATATTTCTCTTCACAATATAACAAAAAATTACAAAATTCAATAGGCTTATAATTTCAGGCTCCAACATGTAGCGGTTCTCGACGTTTTGCAACAATCACACAAAACGTTATAAATCGCTCTGAACCTTTTAAATCAAAAGCTGGTTCTTTTTATCGTTACCATTGCGGACGGTTGCAGTAGAATAAAATATTAAAAAACTCTAAAAATATTTTAAAATTTGAAATGACATTTTAAAAATTAAAATAATATAAATAACTAAATAAACACACACGCAAGCACTCACGCATGCATGCATGCACGCACGCACGCGCGTGGCGCACACACATATATTTTCTATTGTAAATTTTATAAATAAATATGATATTTTTATTAATTACATATATTAATAATTATTATATTTTATCATACTATTATGTTTTTGATATTTTATAAATTGTGTTAATATTAGTAATTTATATTAAACTGTTGCAATATCTCATAATCCGTCGATCATAAATATCTTGTAAATATACTAATTTTTAACCGCTTAACCAGTCGTACAAAATACTTAATAAAGTTTAAAACTGCAATTACCCACCGCTGCAAACTCCTATCGCAACTACAACCATTGCATTTCAACTTGTCATGCTATGTGTCACCAATAAAAAGATGATGATTGATAACAACCACAAAAATTGCAGAAGGCTTTTGATACTTGTTAAATATACTTTACATAAATAAACAGAAAGTCAAGTCTCTTTATACAGTATCTTATACATTAAAATAAAAGTCATTGTGTGATATTTCATTTTGGACCATCTCTTAAAAAATTATCACATTTAATTATATTATAATTTATTTTTCATAATAAATATAATCACAAATATTTCTTATTAATATCTTAATAAACCAGAAATATACTATCTTTTAAGAGAATCTAAAATTTATTTACTAGTAGGGGTGCGCTGGCGCTACGCACCTGATTTCTATTGTAAAATCTAATTTTTAATGTAAGTATGTATGTGTTTTTTACACCAATTTGCAGTACAAAATCTAAAGAAAAAATGAAGTGACGTATCAAAAACTTATAGTGATAAACCTGATGGTTGATCAATAAAATAAAGTGATAAATCTATAGAGCATCATATTATGTATGAACTGAAGAGGACATGGGAGAAGAAAAAACTGTAAATGTACAATATCACTTTCTGATAACTCTTTTGAGTTTGTGAACATCCACAAATAAATAAAG